TATATATATTTTCTCATATATATATATATATATATATACATTACATATATATGCATATATATACATGTATGTGTATGCAAAAATATATCTATAAATTTCCATATAGATATATATAGACACATATATTTTCATACTTTTATATGCATACATATGTACATAGATATACATAATATATATATGTATATAGATATATAGAAATATATATATATATATATAAATATATTATATTCAGATATAAATATGCATATATAGATATATGATATATTGCATGTATATAAATTTATACACACACAGACACACACACACATATATATATATATATATATATATATATATATATATATATATAAAAAGTGTGGATGGTCCTGCACTACTATAATCAAATCTCATGTGTCGTTGTCGGGCTGTCGGTTTCCTGAAACTGATCTGTTTGACCCTCATACGTCGAAATCGACGGGAGAAACGACTATACATATATATATATATATATATATATATATATATATATATATATATATATATACTTATGTGCATACAATCGTGTGCAAGTGTTCAAGTCCACCTAACCAAATGATTTAAAACATGTGTTGTGTAGCAAAACGATCGCTCTATCGATAATTTTCATCTGCAATTATTATACAAGTTACGCCGAGAAAATCATGGAGCGGTATTCACAAAAAACGACCTCTCGTGATAAAAGTTTGATCCGGCCAATACTTGTTTTGTCTCCCACCAGTTTATCCAAGAAAATCCGCTCAGCACTGCTTCTCAGATGTAGAAATCTTCATCGTTTTACTGTTAGTACGCGTCTTGTACATGATTTAACATTGAATGTATGTAAACCTCCTAAAAACCCTCACTTAACCGAAGCCATGAAATCTAAGCAGTTAGCGTTTGCTAAAAAGTACGATTACTGGGACGGAGCGATGTTGGATAAAGTCCTTTTTTCGGATGAATCCACTCTTCAGCATTTTGTTCATCGAAAACTGCTGGTTCGTAGGTCTGTTGTCACAAGATACAATGTCCACTCCAACTAAGCTATGTTGAAACATCCTCCGAGGCTTAAGATCTGGATTGGCATGTCTTCTAAAGGAACAGCTGTACTCGTCTTCTTACCCATTGGAAGGACAATGAACGTCGCCAGTTACCTTGAAATGCTGAAGTGCAAGCGTGAGAGCTTTGTATGGCGCTTCATTGTTGCGATACTTTCATGTAGGATGTTGTATATGTATGATAATATTTTTCCTCATAGAGTCATGATTACGTAACGTAAGTCGTCTGGATAGGTATGTAATACAGTGTAACCCGGATATAAGAGAGTTGTCGGGACCGGAGAAGAAGTCTCTTATATCCGGGTTTCTCTTATATCCGAGTTTGGTTTATTTTATATACATTAACACAGGCTCTAATTTGGGACCAGAGAAAATCTCTCTTATATCCTGGTTTCTCTTATATCCGGGTCTCTTATATCCGGAAAACAGTTCCTTACGTTGTATTTGAACTCGTAAATAATGTTGGTACTTTGTAGATTTGATTTTGCAGCTGAGTTGTTAATGTTGAAGATAAGGTTATCTGCTTAAACTTTTTTAATCTTGTAAAATCATATATATATATATATATATATATATATATATATATATATTTAGAGAGAGAGAGAGAGAGTGACATATATATACATATGCAGAGATATCCATATATATATAAACATATTTATGTACACACACACATATATATATATATATACACACACACATATATATATATATATATATGTGTGTGTGTGTGTGTGTGTTTGTATGTGTGTGTATGTGTGAACAATTAACTAATAATGCAAAAATATCTATTTAATCTTATGCAAAGTTGTACATGATATCTCAGTGGGTGGGATTGCACATGTGCAATATTGTCATGCATTATGGTATTTTCACAGCTGCACTTATCACGTTCTGAAATATTTGGCGTCTGATGAGAAATAAATGCAAATTACAATATTTTATTTATCAAAGTCTGATATGTTTTTATCACCCGAGTTGTTTTCAGACGAACTGTTTTCGAAAGCCGATTTCCTTTTACCGTAAATTCGATTCGTTTCTATCATCCAATCATAATGAAGTTTTCATTTGATAACTTTGCTTCGTATTCCTAACAATTCTGCCTATCTCTGTAACTTTGAAAGTGAACTCAGTTTTTTTTCCCTGAGCCATGTCTCATCATTTTAATAGAATCGTCAACATGGGAGAATTGATTTTATTTATGTTTTTCACCTTTTTTTTTATCTGCAGTCAGATGTTCCTTTTCTTTCTCTTAATCCGGGGTAGATAAAAAACGGTGAACAGCCATTGAAAATAATGTTAGCTTATCTCTAACTCCCCTGCTGTGGATGGCAGCTTTGATGCCATGATACGTTAAGTATGTGACAGGAATCTAGAACAGCAACAGATGCGTGTGCCTCAGAAAATAGGTTTGATGAATGGAGTTCGATTTCTGGTAATGGTAGTTTCATATTTTGAAAAGAAACATGACGAACCTAAGAAATGCTATCGTCAGTTGGAGAGACATGTTTGAGAGATAAGAAAAATGTGAAGACAATGTCTGTGCACTATTCCTCATTGTGAGAGACATATTTTGCTTTCAACTGAAGGAAACCGTCTCTTTAACCTAAAAATCCACATAAACACAGACACACACATAAGCACACACATATATATATAGAGAGAGAGAGACAGAGAGACAGAGACAGAGAGAGACAGACAGAGAGAGAAACCGACGGAGAGAATAAATGATTAATTTTAATGCGACATTTTATTACTTGAAACTGTATTATAACAGATACTAAGAGCCATTTTTATTTATAGACGTAATACACACTGATTAATGAAAAAAATGGTTTGTTTTTTTTAAATACAGTGTATCAACTATAATAGCGTTTGAAGATAAATATATATATATATATATATATATATATATATATATATATATATATAGAGAGAGAGAGAGAGAGAGGTAAGAGAAACAGACAAGGGGTGAAAGAGAATAAATCAGTTATTTTAATTCAATATTTTATTAATTCAAACTGGATCATTCGAGATAATGCAATACATTTTTTAAAGACGTAATACAGAATGATGAATACAAAAATGGCGCGTCTTATTCAAATATGGAGTATTCACTATAATAACATGTGAAGCAAAATCTATCTATGTATCTCTCTCTCTATCTCTCTATCCCTATATATATATATATATATATATATATATATATATATATATAGAGAGAGAGAGAGAGAGAGAGAGAGAGAGATAGAGAGAGAGAGAAAGAAAGAGAGAGAGAAAGTTTCATGTGAATACATTACTGCAAGCTATTCCAAAGAACATGTTCTAGTAACGTTTCTAGTGATGTCACAATCATTTCATAAAGTCCACAGCTTCACAAGGGGTGTATTTTGAATCTGCCAACTGCCGACAGGGAGCAAAGCTCGGTTTCGCATGATTGTTTCAGTAATTAAATTGTAAAATATCTTATATAATTTATAACAGGTATATGCTTTACAATTGTTTTCATCCTATACAAATCCCAAAAGCTACTCGTATTAGAGGTTTACATAGTAAGAAGCACAGTTTATCTAGATATGTGAGGGCGATATCGGTTATCCCTAGATTTGAATATGTTAACGTTTTAGTGATAAGGAAAGCATCCTCTTGGGAATCGGTTCCACTAAGCAGTAGTTTGTGGAAGGAAGCTACTCGAGTGGAAATTAAATTTCACCAATGGAATATGAAGGAAATGAACGTGGTTCGCTATAATATGCGTGGCATTATGGGTCTTAGCTCTGGAGGTTAGGTCTTGTGGAACTAAGGAATGTATTTCGTCTGAACACTTTCTATGCTAATAGCAATAGGGTAGCGAGAGGCTTGCGACGTGTGAGAAAAGGGTTGTAATGCGGACAGGAATAATTTGTCACCCACAATGACGCCTAGACGTTTTTAGACACTATTGAGACTTGAAAGTGGCAGCTGGGCTAATATATGGTCGGCCTGTAATGATAGGGTAAAACAGTTTCCGATTTGGTTTGTTTTACGTCATATCAACCTCAATGACTTATTTAATTTTTATTGCTGTTAATTTTTTTTTTTTTTCAAAATGTATTTCTGGTATCTTTTTTCTTCAAAAATCTATTTCTGGGAATATTTTTCCTTCAAAAATTGTATTGCTGGTAATATTCTTTTAAAAATATATAGCTGTTTGTATTGCTGGTATTTTTTTTTTTTTTAAAGTATTGCTGATAATTTTTTAAAAATCTACCAGCAATAATTTTTCCTTCAAAAAAAAATCAATGCTAGTAATTTTTAAAAAAAAAAAAAATATTTTACACTTTCATAGTATTTTTGGCAAAAGTTGGGTGTTAACTTTTTGCCCATAGCTGGGACCATAAAGGGTGCTACCGCCCCGGGTCAGGATGGAACTGGGAACATCAGCAATTAAGAGGTGTTTCCATGCTCCTCAAAACCTCCTGATCAGAGGCCTTGTTGTTGGACGTAGTTTATCGCCATACCCAGTACGGAAGGAAAACAGAATGAGTCAGGTACTTACTAGAGCAGTAGCGGGAACCCCATCTATTTGTCCAGCATCTTTAGCGATAGAGCGTGTTTCACTTCAAGTCTGGGTTGAGTTTCAGTCCCATTAGACTCTCAATCCACGGAGTCTTCCCGAGAAAAGAATAATAAATGACAAACAAAAAAACTGGCAAAGATGGTGCTAAAGAAGTATCAAGATATAAAGAAAAAATATACGCCAGGGAAAAATACGAAAAAAAGGAATCATAGACAAGTGCGATGAACAGTTTGAAAAAGATGGAGAGGAAATTTACAGAATTATTAAAATTAACGCTATACTTGATAAATGAAGAATGAGATAAGATTGTAATTTCTTAAAGGAAACGAGAAAAACAAAAAGGGAAAGAGCATTTAATAAAGAAAAACGGGGAAAAAAAAAGAAAAAATCTAAAAATAAACAGAGGAAATAATCTTTGAAAAGGAATAAAAGTTGTTGCAGAAAACAGGAAAAATGAGGTCGGCACAAAAACAAGAATCAAAACATATAAAAGAACAATAAGTAGGAAAAAGAAACGAAATTGTTGTTGTTGTTGTTGTTGTAGTAGTAGTAGTAGTAGTAGTAGTAGTAGTAAGTAGTAGTAGTAGTAAAATGGGAAAAATAAAAGAAGAAATTGCCTTGGAAGAACAAAGAACAGTAAGAAATTGAAATAGAATAAAAGGATAAGCATAATTAACAAAAAGAATGAATGAAAGAAAGAAAGAAAGAAAGAAAGAAATAAAGAAAGAAAGAAAGAAAGAGAGAAAACGGAAAAGAAAGAACACAGAATAAGAAAGACAAAAAGAAAAAGAACAGAAAGAAAAGAAAAAAGGAAAAAGTAAGAGAATAAAACCAGAAGTAGGCGATAATAACATGGAGGAATGTGATGATGTTATGGAAGAGCCTGCGAAGGAAAAAAGATAGGGAAATATAACAAAGGAGAGCGAAGAGAAAACAAGGAAAATTAAATAGAAAGAATAAGGGTAAGAAAATTAATAGAAAGAAAGAAGAAGATAGAAAAAAAGAAGTTTAATAAAAGATGAGAGAGAAGTTGTAATGTAAAAAGAGGAAAAGCTGAAGGGAAAGAATAAGTAAATATTGGAATATGAAATATGTATAGAAACATATGTATATACAAACATATAGTTATTAAAATGAAAAAAAAGCTATCGAGCTTTAAACAATAAAATTGTTATGAAGGGTAAGAAAATCAAGGAAGACAAAAATCGAAGAAAGCAGATAATTAAAAAATTTCCAAAGGAAAAAGAAATAATTCAGAAGAAGAAACAGAGGAAAACGACTTTAAAAAAAAAAAGTGTATCGTATTTTTAAAAATAAGAATGAAGAAAGCGAAATTATTCGAAAGCTAAATTTGATTATATCCTTTTAACGGTGAAAAATAATACGAGCATTCATTCTCATGCACTAGTTTGTTTCAGGCTGAAACATTAGACATACATATACACGATCTCGTTACAAAGCATTAAGACATTTTTTGAAAGAAAAAAGGTGAAGAAAAAAAAAACAATTCAAAGCGATAAACACTCAATTTGCATAATAAGACCCTTTTAAAGACATGTATGCATAATCATATTACATTGGTAAAGATATAAGTAGCCATTACGTTAAGAGTAGATTTTCTTCAAATTGATTTTATGTCTCTTGTAAAATGCTATTCGAATTCAGACGAATAATGGTAGGTTGTGATGAATAATAGATTTTCATTTGCCTGGCACACATCAAATAAAATCTCGCAAAGAAAAGAGCGGGGACAAAATTTTTAGTTCGACGACGTTCCTTTTCTTCGTTGGGGGAAAATGAAGGCTTAAATACGCTTATTTTTGCTAATATTAATTTTCAAGGAAAACGTCAGACTTCTAATCGGAGTAGAACAGATACGGGGCGTAAATAAAATAAATACGCCTTTTGAAATCAGAAAGAGAACAAACGCCAAATGAGACAGGAAAATATTCTCTTTTTTTATTATTAAATCAAACAATAGGTAAATATCGCCTTTGTCAAAGTCGCTATTGTTAAGGTAAACATGTAATTTTCCATATAAAATTCGACGAGCATTTTGATAATTCTCAGGTGTTATCGAACCTGAGCTTCTTTAATGAAATATTAAAAATAGAATCGTTTCACGTGAATAGACACAAACAGAGTTCTAGTATGTTTGATTATCGGAGTGCGGGGAGGGGGACTTAGTGGACATAACAGTAGTTTTCCAGGCCAAAGACCTCGACCTGGATTCTACATTGTTACGCTGGTTACAACTTTATATAACTCCTCGTGATCAAAAATGCATTGAAATGTATAGTGCATTAGTTCAGCAGTGGTCCTTTATTTAAAGCCTCGCAAGAACTGAGTCAACCAACTAAAAGATGTGCATACTATATTAATAATTTCGTTGTGTAATTATGAAAAAACACGTATATATATATATATATATATATATATATATATATATATATATTTTTTTTAATAATAATAATAATATATATTATAATATTATATATATATATATATATATATATATATAAAGAGAGGAGAGAGATAGATAATTTGATAATATTAGTGGTCAATATATATATATATATATATATATATATATATATATATATATATTATATAAATTTCCCAGAGGATGAAATCCTGGTAGAGCTATATGTCCAGGACAGAGCAAGAATATAATATAAAGGCTCAAACATTAATATTCCATAGTTATAATTTATTACACTGGAATCAATCATTCAATTCATCAGACCTACAAATTCAACAAGAAATTTTTCTTCTGAATTTGTAGGTCTGAAGAATTGATCGTGATTACTTCCAATGTAATAAATTATAAAACATCGAATATTAGTGTTTGAGCCTTTATATATATATATATATATATATATATATATATATATATATATATATATATATATATATATATATATTACGTATTCCTTCTCACGTATTCCTTCTTCAATATACAGGAAGGACGATCATATCTTCAACACGTGACTTTTTAATTGATTTCAATACCTTGGACATCTATGCATTTGGTGCCGTCGAGTGGGCAACAAAGCTGCGGTCGAACAATACCAAGAATACCTTGAAGATCCGCATCGAGGACGTGATGGATAATCTGAACATGGTCGATTTGATCATGGCTTGCAGTCGCTTTCAAGCCCGTATCGATGCCGTCTGTGACGTTAAGTGTGGTTTACATTAAATAACCTTTTCCCGTTTTCCTAAGTTCAACAAGTGTACACCATTTGAAGATATACTGATTTCTACTATTGAATATATTTGTTCTTCTTTATATTATAACTTGTTCTCAATAACCAAGCGCACTCAATATATATTGAAAACGATGTTGATATATACTTTCGTATATGTCGGAATAATTAGGCTTTTTATGATTGTACAACGATGCAGTTACTCGGAAGAACATGATGGACGTTATTGGAGTGTATTCAATTGCTTTTCCCCTTACAGAAAATTCCAATAAAATAACTGGGGGAGCATTTATTCTTTTTTCTTTGTTATCTTTCTACGTTCTACTCTTATTTATCTGTTATGTCTGCCTTTTTTCTCTTTTGAATGGTTCCATTTATTTCTCTCTTTTCTTTTTTCCTTTTCTTATTTCACTTTATTTTTTCCTTTTTTATTGTCATTTCTATATATATTTTTTTTCAGTTTCTCTTTTTACTTTTTCTCCTAATATAATACAATTTTCTTTCGCTTTTTTTTGTCCGTCTATTCTCGCTTTCCTTCCTTTTCATTTGTCTTTATCTCTACTATTCTTTCTTTTTCGCCTGCTTTCTTTCTTGCTTTCTTTCTTTCTTTTTCATACGTTGCTATTACAGTTCATTCTTACATTCTTTTTGTTTCGGATTTCTTCTTTCTGTTTTTCTTTTTTTCTCACTAAAAGAATGTAAGAAAAAAAATTTTGTTCATTTCTTACTTTCTTCTTTCATTTCGTTTTTTATTTATATTTTTCTTTTTCAATATTATCGATCGTTTATATATATATATATATATATATATATATATCGAACTATAGACATATTGAATTTTTTCTATTTTCTTTTTTTTTAGACATATTTGTTGATTCTTTATTTTTTTTCTTACATTTTCATTTTCTTTTTTTTTCTTACTTTTTCATTCTTTTTTTCTTACATTTTTCATTTGTTCTTTTCAATTTTTTTTTTTTTTCATTCGTTCTTTTTCTTTTTCTTAATTTTCTTACATTTTTCATTTTCGTTCTTTTTTCGTTCAATTTTCATTTTTCATTTTTTTTCTTCATTTTTCTGTTCTTTTGTTTTTTCTTCAATTTTCTTACATTTTTCATTCGTTCTTTTTCTTCAATTTTCTTACATTTTTCATTCGTTCTTTTTCTTCAATTTTCTTACATTTTTCATTCGTTCTTTTTCTTCAATTTTCTTACATTTTTCATTCGTTCTTTTTCTTTTTTCTTTTTGTCTTTTTCTTCAATTTTCTTACTTTTTTCTTCGTTTTTTTCTTTCTTATTCGTTCTTTTTCTCGCCATTCGTTCTTTTTCTTCAATTTTCTTCCTTTTTCCTTCGTTCCTTCAATTTTTTACATTTTCATTTTCTTTTCTTTTCTTACTCCTTCTTATTTTTCATTCTGCCTTTTCTTTTTTTCATTCGTTTTTTTCTTTTTTCTTTTTTTTCGTTCTTTTTCTTCACTTCTTACATTTTCATTCGTTCTTTTTTCTTCCTTTCTTTTTTCAATTTTCTTCATTCTTTTTTTTCTCTTACTTTTTCTTTCCTTTTCCTTCTTTTCAATTTTTTTCGTTCTTTTTCTTCCTTCTTTTCAATTTTCTTACATTTTTCATTCGTTCTTTTTCTTCAATTTTCTTAGCGTTCTTTTTTCTTCATTAATTTTTCAAATTTTCTTACATTTTCATTCTGTTCATTTGTTTTAATCTTTTCTTTCTCTTTACATAATATTTAAAATTAACTTTCATTTTTTTTTTTTTCTTTCTTTTCTTTCTTTTCTGTCTTTCTTTTTTTTGTCTTTTTTCTTTCTTTTCGTTTTTTCTTCTTAATTCCGCCTTTTTTCTCTTCCTTTTTCCTTTTTTTTTTCTTTCTTTCCTTTTTACCTGCCTTTATAGTGGTTCCTTTCTTTTTTTCTTTCTTTCTTTTATCTCTCTTTCTTTCCTCCTCCTTCTTTCAATTTTTTTTCAAACCTTCATTTTAAATACATATTCTGTTTGTTTAAGTTTTTATAATATTTTCCATCATTTTCGCTTTTTTTCTTTTTTTTCTTTCATTTTTTCTTTATAGTGTTCTTGTATTTTCTTTTTGTTTTACTTTTTTCCATTTTCTTTGTATTTTCTTTCTTTTTTTCTTTTTTTTTTTTTTTTTTTTTTTTTTTTTGTTCTATTTCTGTCCATCGGTTTACGCAGGTCGATCAATTCCAACTCGCAGATCATTTTTAAATCCAGGTAAATAATCTGGAGGTTTTGATTTTAAACAACTTCAACAGTAGTACCTCCTTCTATCCTCTGGGGGGAGGATGAAGACGTAGGACATTTCGAAAAATAAACTTCATGTGCTAAGATTTACCCTCTTCCTACCCAAACAAAAACAAATCAGACTAAAAATAACTTAATCTAAATTCAAGTTTTAAATTCTCGGACGTCAAGACAATAACTAACGCATGATAGTTATAATATCTATATTGTATCTGTTCTGTATAATGCATAAAACTACATTTCTCATATATATATATATATATATATATATATATATATATATATATATATATATATATATATATATATATATATATATATATACAACGTGTTGAGAGTTTGTGTGTATAGAAACAAATCTTTTTTTCATGCAAGTTAATGTTTTCACAATAACATTAATATTAACCAACAAATAACGATGAATTTATTTTCAGAAAATATTTATATTTATATGATGAATACGCAATATAAATTTCAACTAATACTTTTTAGTAGAACTACATTCAATAATATATGTGGCAGTTTCATATCTTTTAGCAACTCGAGCGTTTGTCTTGTTATTTTAAATAGATATATAATATTATTGATATTTATTTTTATTTCATATGTGTATGTTTATGTTTGCGCATATGTCTGTATGTGCATATATGTGTGTGACTGTCTTTTGAAATATTCCCATGGTTACTGATAATGATATAGCTACAAAAATGTCATTGTATATCGTAATTTTATTGTTAATGGAAATTGCAAAGAATTTCAAAAGCGTCTTCAGTATTATCAAATGACGAAAATGATACCTCTGACAAGACCAGAACAATAAGAATGTTACAGAAAGAGTTTGGAGCAAATATAATCGTGTAAGAATAAAATAAAACCCTGTTTTTCTAGAAACTGTCAGTGAGAAATCATGGACTATTATAAGAACGTAGACTAAAGATACTATATTCATTTCTCACTAGCAGTTTATTAATGAATTCAAAACTACTTTACATGAACCTGATAAGTAAGCTAGAGGTTGGGTCCTTCATAGAAAACAGTCAGTAAATACGACTTAAGAAACAACATCAGGAATGTTTGTCATTTAATGGCTAATATTCTAGGTATGAAAATGAACAGGTCTCTTCAAATTGATGATGGGGTAAAGAAAATGCAAATAGTTATTTTATATATCCATGGTTTAGATTAATTGTTTTGGACAAATCACAATTCAGAAAAAATTAATCTAAATATATAGCAATGCAATATAATGCCGCTTTATATTTTGTAACGATTACTATAAAAATGCCTTGCCAAAAATTTCAAATAGACGAAATTAATTGAAACTGAAAAATGGTGTCCATAAAGTCTCTTTACAATTTTAAAAAAAAGTATTATAAAAGCAAATGAATATAAAAATATGTGAGAATTATTACAAAATGAGGAATAGATATTTAAGTATTTGTAACTAAATTAATATACCTCTATATGGTCACAATTAGTTGCATAAAACACATTAAGACGGTACTCGATTACTTGCCATGTTTGATATAACAGAGGCTCATCAATAGTGGCAATGGTTTCAGTGATCTTTTGTTTTAGATCAGTTAAGTTTTTGTTTGATACACCATATCTTTAACATAAGCCCATAGAAAAAAGTTCAGAGCGATATCTGGTGAACGAGATGGCTAGGGAATTGGGCTAACCCTTCCAATCTACCGGTCTGGAAATGTTAAGCATTTATTTAACAGTATCTCTTTCATCAACAGGATACCTGAAATATCACAAATGCAAATTAATTAAAAAACTTTGATAAATACTGAGTACATAGAACAAATCTAATTAAGATATCTCATCAATTGCCCTTGAAATACATTTTTTAAATTGTAGAGGAACTTTATGGACAGCCTGTATAAGTTGAGTTACATTTAAGAAAAGAATATATCTTGAAGCAATATAATGTCTGCAATATAAAATTCGAAAGACTATAAAACTATATCAAGAATGATATATAACATTAAAAAGGTAATTATAGATGTATGTAGTAATTAATATAATTTTTGATATTTATTTTTATTTCATATATAAATATGTGTGAGTATGTCTGTATGTGTGTATATATTTCTGTGTCTGTTCTTGTTGAAATATTTTCATATGGAATATTGTGCCGATCAAATATATGTTAATGTGATATATTTCAGTTTTATTTATAAATAAGAATTCGCGCTATCTTCGGTTTTTCATCGTATAGATAATTATTTCTAAATAAACAAATGCAATTAATCTAGAATTAGCATTTAACATACCAGAAATGGAATAAACATAATACAGCCAAATCCTCATAAAACCTTTTATTATCAATGTCTTATAATAATAAACTATAATCCGAAACTCACACGATATATTGATCATATGAGTTATGTATATTCTGGAAATTCTCTCAATATAAGTTTGTAAAAACCAATTTTCTTCTACAAATACTGTCTTGTATAATAAAACTGACGTAATGTGCGTGTGTGTATATATGGAATTGAGCTTTTCAGATTTTCCCACCGTCAATTCCACACTTGAAATATTACATTATGTGGTGATATTGAAATGTAGGTTTTCTTTATGGTTTACTCGTATTGTACTGTTCGCTATATGTCGAATATAAAGACAGCAAATTTACCTTCGAATAGCTTCTGTCCTTTGGCAGACGAAGTACGGATCTGCTTCAAAGCAAGCCAAATCGAAACGGACCCGGATAACCGAAGTCGAGCCAAACAAATTCAGGACCAAACAGGACGAACTTGACGTTTCTATCTCTTCAACGTCGCACTCTGTATTACCGGGCCAATTGCCAAAATTTTGTGTGTATCGGACATAATGGATTTCCTCTCTTCGTTGGGGCAGTTCTGATTGGCAGATCATTGGCCACAACACGACGGGGATTCTGACCACAAATGAAGATATGCCTGACTTCGTGTGTCCCTAAGGAGATATTTCGGGAAAGTGTAACGTTGTAGAAAAGATAGCGGCGAACTGGATTACTTAGAATTCAAAGTTTTCCTCTTCTTTCCAGCTGGTTTCGTGTTAAACTTCCAGGAAGTCGTCGCTTGTCAAATAATATGTCGCATAAATACGAAACAACCGAATCCAACTTTAGAAAAATAATTTTTTTAGGGCTTTGATACACTTCTTAAGGTAAGGAATATAGAATGATATTTTAATGATGTTTACAGATTTATTAAAATTTTACGCATCTTTTCCAAGAAAAATACGAAAGCGACTGGAAAATTCATATTGACGGGCTCATCAATAGTGGCAATACGGCAATAATGTCAGTGTTAGAGTAGCAGAGTTGTCTGAGCGTTGGCGTTTCGACCATGAGACCCTGGTTCGAATCTCACCATCGACGAGTTCTCAAGAAGAATTCTTAATATTCTCTGCTTAGAAGATGGCTCCAGTGTGCAGCATCATTGGCAAGTGTCTGAAAGCCCTACTACCAATTGAACCAAGTCTGATGAGAGTATTTACGTAAAGGAAACCCTTTGTGAGCGTAAGTGGTCGTGTTAGCCCGGATTTTGAGTAAAATGACAACTTTTTACACCCAATTATGAGTTCCCTCCCAGAAGGTCAGCCCAAGTAAAAAAAAACTACAATTTGGAACAATATTTGCTGTTCCTCCAATTAAATTCACAAAGTGATATCTCCAGTGTATGAAGTTTGAGAAAATTTCTCTATTCTCCAAGTTATAGCATTTTAATGCTATTGTGTTAACAGAATGTCTCTAGAATGTGCCGTTCACTGCGGCGTTACTACAAGATTATGTTTATCAATTCTGTAGATGATATTTAAATAAAGAAATGCAATTGATCTGGAATTACCATTTAATACACCAGGAGTATCTCTTGAGAAATTTAAATAACCGTAATACAGATAATTGCCGTGTTAATTAACATTTGGAGAGAAAATTAGTTTATTTTTCAAGTTAAAAACTTCCACCAGTATTGCGCTAATAAAATCCCCACTTTTACATAACATTCTTTTTTTTTTCTTACAGTAACAAATTCATAATCAGAGTCTCATTATATTATAGGCAATGCAACATAAGAAATAGTCACAAAGAAATATGATTTAAACATGCCTTTTCATAACTTTTTTTAGTGAAATTTATGAGGAATTCTTATACAGGTTGACTATCACCAATCCGGAAATGAGTAATCCTGGACTTATTACGTGAAGAGCAATTTCACTTCACAATGGTCAACAAACAGACATTACACTGCATTTTATTCGAGTTAGCTGGAGCAACAGCTGGGTTTATGCCCTTTCAAACAATGGAAAGTCATTTCTATCTGTGCTTTGCGTATTTGTATTAAAATATCTCGATGTTTAGACCCAGTCATAGCTCCGATGAATACAGATATCTGTAGGATACGCAAATGCTACACACTATCCATTAATTTTCATTTATTTTTCTCCGTTCTTTATTTATCAATAATTAATGTAACGCCACTAATTTTCAATACCTTGGCATAAATGAATTTTTATAAATGAAAAATATTTCTTGAAGCTTTCATTTTAGCTCTAATTGAAGGTTAAAAAAGTAAATTTACTATTTTCAGTAAGCAAAATACTCTGGTGCATTTCACACAGAAATTATATTGATTAGAATGGATTATTTTTCGAAAATAGCTGATTAGCGCCCTTTTTTAGTCGTTTTTCATCGTAATATAATTCTCTGTATTTAAAAAAAAACTTCCAAAAATAAAATATAATTTCCTTAAACTTTATTTGAGTAACATTTGCTGATTTGAAATATAATTAATCTCATTATTTACATTATTC